TCTTCATATGCAAAGGAAAAAGTTTAAAATGTTGATTTCTACAACATCAAAACCATCAAATCATCACCCTCTTTCTTCACATGTCTTTTAATAAACTCGATTTTTTAAAAACATAAATTAATGAAATAAATAAATTGTGTAATAAAATATTATATTATGTCACATTATGTACATAGAAGATGTAATATTATTTTGAATTTTATTATAGCAATTGTAAAGTATGTTATGAATTTATTACATAAGAAAATATTATTCACGTTATGTCGTGTTTAGTCCCATTTTAAGCAGAAAAATGTCACAAATGTGTTAAAAGGAAAAGAAAATATACAAAAAAGGGAAAATAAAAAAAGTTTTCTTTTTCTCAGCATTGTCTTATACATATATTCGATTTCCGATTATATTATCACTATTCGACGGCCGAATATCATGACGCCATCATCAATCGTGACACTGGTTCCACTAGTTATGGGGATGAAACTTTTACATTTAACGTTTGCACATTTAACGCGAGAATACTGTACATCTTGAATACAAAAATTTTCATTAGTGCATTTATTATTTCTATCTTGGATTGATAGTACCTTGGTAGTATAACACTCGCATTCAACCAACGGTAAGCGCCATCAATGTTATTTAATTATTTTCCAATTATTGATTTTCTAACAATATTTTTGTTACATTATATGAAAAAATATAAATTGTCTATTGTATCCCATATTCATTATAAAATTCAAATAGAATTTTAATTATTTTCCCTTTTCATTATATACATTCATACTTTACACTGAGTGTGTAAAGTGAAGAAAAATCTGTTATATATATAACAACAAAAACTGAATATATTGTGTATGAATTTCACAGTCATATACGTCGTGTATACAGTCATAAATAATAGAATTCTGTATGTAGGATAAAGATATACTGTGGATATGAAGAAAATTATATTACATTTAATATATTGTAAAAATGAAAAAACCTAAATAATTTTAATTGATTTACATTATGTTAGTTGAAATGAATGCTCTCAAATAACACATTATCGTTTAAAAACTTTAATTTCTAAATTGATAACAGTTTCCATGTATTTTGACGCTTATCTGTTTTTATCTTCTTTTTTCTTTTTTTGATACGTTAAGCGCCATAAAAATGCACTATTAAAACATTCATACTTTTAATGATACAACGTCTTTACTGTGCAAGTACACATGTATTGTCATATTTTTTAACATTGTCCTTGATGCATAAAAATCAGCAACGTGCCCAAATTTTAATAAATATATCATATTACTGTCATAATTTTTATTTCGTGATTCATTAAAATTGATCAAGCGTTTTATGATTTCGATGAAACAAATCGTATTTTATAAATATGAACATGATTTGTGTTCATAAATTAAAATATTCTTCTAGTCATTTTTTTTCCATATTTTTTAGATATGAAGGAAATTATAGTTTGCTAAGCGTATAATACACTTTAAATGAATAATTTGACAGATATACTTCTGTCATAGAGATGCAATGGAAACTGTTTGCCATGTTTAGTTTCCCTTATCAGAATACCAAATTATTCTTACCGTACCTAAAAAAGATAACTATGTTCATAATTATATTTCATAACTGATTTAAAATTAAATGGATGTCATTTACCATTGATCAAAACGATCTGTATGATGGAGGATAACGAGACGGTATACTTGTGTTAATATAACGTGACAGATGTTCCCAACCCAAGATATTTGCAATTTCTATACATTTTTCATCAATTTCTTTTAATGGATGTTCTTCATAATAACGCAATAATAACTTCAAATAGCGACCATAATGATTGTTGATATGGGCATGCCATAATGAAAGAGTAATGACCTGCAAGCACAGAACAGATACACATTTTACATATAAGGTATATCTTATGATAGATTTCTTAGGTTTGTATACACTGAAATTCCTTGCCTTAATGTCGGTTGGTTCTGCGAATTTTTGTACTTCTTGCCAGTGATGAGTCACACTTTCTAGTAAATGTTCGTACGATTGACGATCTCCTTCTCCTTTTCTCGCACTGTGTACAAACAGTCGCGCTAATGCACATCCCTTTTTTACTAATGCTTTTATCAAACTAAACTTCTGTTTCTCCATAGTTGTCCTAATCTTTGCTGCGTCATCACGTTGATCGCTTTTTAAGCCATAATAGGCTAAGAGTTTGTCTTGATCAATATTGGTAATTATAGCATCTGCGACAGTTATTATTTGGTTTGCCAGAGAAACAGACTCTTCTGAGATATCATCATGTGGTACATGACGTGGAGCTTCAGGTGAATCCAAAGAAATCAACATGGCACTGTGAACGGGCAAATGGTCCGAGAAGAGATTCTTTAATTCTCCATATAACAGATTTGCATATTCTCCAGGTTCTATTAAAAATAATATCAAATTAATTATACATTTAACATACTATAAAAATGAGAACATACGTTTATATTACAAACAATAAAACAGACTTTGTATAAACTTGTTTGAAATAAATTGTTGTAATGTATGTAATTATGTTTGCGTTGAAATAATATCGATAAGTAACAAATATCGCTACTAATAATTTTTTCTGAATATCACAAAGGAGAGAAGAGTGAATTATTTGTTATAGTCGTGCATTGGAGTAAAACAAATGGTAATAAAGAATTCAATAATCGTCTAAATAGACTTGTTTAGGATTTCATATCATCGGAATAATATTTTATCACACTCTAGTAACTTACTCGTAGAAGGCGCTATTTGTAGAATTGAAACCGGAAAGAAAAACAAAACATTTATATCATGATAATCTTTAAGCAATATATCATATATAATTGAATATTGTTTGAGAAAAAAATCTGATTACCAAGCTTTGAGAGCCAACTGCATTTGAAATCCCTGAGTGCTTCATTGTATTCGTCCCATTTAGTAGTTTTCTCTTTATTCGGTGAATTATAAGAACTACTACTACTACTAGGTTTTTTGTTTGGTTCAGATAAAATATATTTAAATGTGTGACAATCGACTTTTTTCCCATTTTCATCTTTGCAGAAAGTTAATGTACCCTGTAAGTAACTGCCATTTCCCAAAGTAGCACCTCTGGAAACCCTTAAAATGAAATTAAAAAATTAATATATCTTTAATTAAATTAATAGTAGATATTGCTTAAGTCTTACACTACAAAGAAACGTTATGAACGAAATCAAATATAAAGCTAAAGAATGAAATTGAGATGAAAAGCAAGTGTACAGCATTTCTATGTTTGAAGAAGCATATATAAAGCATTATATATAAGCCATAAACATACACTAAGCAAAGCTCAAACACTATATAAAATGTATTAAAAATGCAGGAAAGAAAAAGTTTCTATAAACCAAACTTTAGAAGACCATTCATGTTGGCATATTCAACTGATAAAAGGGAGAAAGTTTAGATACTTCAATATCAAAAGTCTAAAATGTGAATAATAAAGGAAGAAATTTTTGTAAAGCAGTGAAGCATAAAAGTTTATTAAATTAGATTAAAATGCAGATATAATAGAGCAATACACAAAATAGAAGCATAACTATTATAAAAAATATGTATTTTAAACTATCAATATTTTTGTTTAATTTATGTTTAAAAATGTTCAAATGTTTAAAAATGTATATAAAGAGAATGCTATAGACTTACTTGTTTTCAGCGCTGCAATGAAGGATGAAAAAGGAAAAAAAATGTTCTTAGTAATACTTTAGAAATGATTAATTTATATAAATAAAAATAAAACAAAATATAAAATAATTTGTGTAAAATTATTTTATATCTTCATTGATAAATATAGGTAAAATTAACAGTCAAATAACTGCTAATGATAATTAATTTTTATAACTTCCTAATTTAACATTTTTTGAACATTTACATTTTTGAATAATGATGAAGGTATCCATGCACTTTCTTTTTACTTATACAAAAAAAATAATATGCATACTACTACGTGTGCAAAATGAATGTAGAATAATCTTAAAAAGAAATGTAAGCTATACGTGAAAGAATTCTAAAATAACTATATATTCCTTTTAACATCATAGTGAATACTTTGCAATCCTTGTCATACATAGTGTCATACATAGCATAAAAAAAGAATCTTATGTTTGAAATAAAATACTTACTTGTTTTCATTAGACATAGGAGCAATATACAAGGGAAGAATGTGACCAGGTGGAACTGAGGCTGCTAGTACCTTTTTGCCACCAAGAAGAGCTTGTGATTGACTGGCATAAACATCTAGACTAATTGGATTACTCAGTTTGTGACTTAAAAGAAACGGCATTTCCGTTAATTTATCAAGTAAATCTTTCTTTTCGTGACGAACATGTATTTTCAAAGTATAATCGCCTTTTTCTAATTTTTGATTAGCATACTGTAATAAAAGATAGTATTATTTCTAGATTGCTTAATATTCATTTATAAGAAATACTTACTTTAGGTGGATATGCATCTCCACAACAAATAAGTTGTTTATTCGTATCAAAAATCATCCACATTTGACTCTCATATTCACTTTCGTATAATAAATCGCTAAGAACTGCTGCATTTGGAGTTACTTCGGTTGCTTTTGCACAATGGAACGTATATGTTAATTGCAATTCGTAAATTTGTCGCGATGGTGGTATAATATCTCGTTCTCGTAATGGTGCGATCTTTGCATCAGTGGGTCTGTAAAATTAAAACAGAAAGTAGAACTATATTCAATCATTTTCACTGATGTATGTTGTGCAACATTTTTATTCTACATACTTCAATATTTGTACGGATGATTTGAGACAAATATTGGGAACTACTTCTTCAGTTCTAAGTGAACTGCGCACTTCTAAACGGCTTATTCCATCCCCAGACTGCATTGTAAGATTTCCATTTATCATATGAACACCATGAAATTCTATGAAATAGTCAAGTAACATGTCACCTATGTTTGCCCAATACTTCGCGATAACTACTTCTAAAATTAATCCACCCTATAAATAAAAAATAACTTTAATTTAATAATACCGAACTTATTAATACATATTAATCTATAATAGAACTTGTCTATTAATTCAAAAAATTAATACATTTATACCTGAACAGCAAATGGATGAATAATTTCCGATTGAGATGTAACAGTGTACAATTTATTAACTTCGTAAGTTTTACAGGATAAGCGTGGTTTCAGTTGAACAGTATGAATTGCAAATCTTCCAGTTTTATCTTTTTCCGTACTCTTCAATCTAACCACTAGATCGAATTACATTGAAACATTAATTTTGTGTATCCAATATTACATATATGAAATAAATATATATTACAAAAAATATATACCCGCCCATGTCGCATCTTCAGGAACAAGGATAAAATGTCGACGAATCGTGTTCGGTTTAAATAAAATATTTGTATATATTAAGTCTGGAACGATGGCATTTTTTGGCAGTGTTTGCGGTTGCACTACAGTAACTGGTATTTGGAACACTGGTCCTTTTCCAACGTCTGTTACATCATAAGCTCGAATACTATAAATCACGATTAGTACTGATATACGTTATTACTAAAAAAAGAAAAAGAAAGAAAAAACAAATAAATCTAAGCCTGAATATTCTTACCTAGTTGTATGAACACCTTCAGGTAAATTAAAACCATCAACATTGATACCAAATGCACGAACCATATTCATTAAATCAAGATGCGTTGGAAAATGTACCCACGATGCGTCACATACCAAAGTTAATTTTAAATTGAAAGCGATTTTGAGTGCCGGATCTATAAAGTATTCAAATATTACAATAAATTATATTCAATTAAAACATGTAGTAACATAGTAAGACATAAAATTATACCAGTATTTTCACTATTAAGAAATACAGGTTCAACGGTAATGGCATAATCTTTCGGCCGATCAATGACACCGCTTCTCATATGAATTCCTTTGGCGTTATTTGGACCACAATTAATAGTGAATCTGATGTCCCTTTCAGGTACATTACAATATGTAACAAGATTATCGAATGCACGTTCGACTTGTAATAATCCTGAACCTTGAGCAAAAGGATCCAAATTTTGTATGTATAGAGCTGTATTTTCAAGTGCTCTCTTTATGTTATACGGAGAGTAAGGGCAATCTTTGGCAATAAGTCCTGATATGAGTATTGCTGTAATATAAAAAATATAATAAAATACACTTCTCTTTATTAGTAACATGAATTTTATATTTTATTAAATATGTATTAAATATATACTAAATATGTAAATATTATTAAATATCGATATACCGATAGCTCCAGTTACATGAGGGGCAGCCATGCTTGTACCATTCATAAGTTGGCTTTTCCTTAATGTAAAATTTGGAACACTAGTTATAGCTCCTCCTGGAGCACATACAGTAATTCCAGCTCCACCATCAATCATTGGACCACGAGATGACCATGTGTAAGACATTCCAGGCATTCTTTCTCTTAAAGAATATTCAGCTACCATCATATCAGGAGAAACATAAGCACCAACGCTAATCACACTGTTAGAACTAATATCTGGTGGTGTTCCTATATGATTTTAAAATGGGTGAGATATAATAAGTATGAATGTTGTGATTTTGTATTTAAAATTTACGAACATTTTTATCAACTAACCAATAGTGCATAAAGCAGGTCCAAGATTACCGGCGGATGCTACCCATGTTACGCCATATTTGTCAATAACTTCATTCATTAATTCTCCTATTCTTCCAGTGTTAGACCAATGGGTATGTTCTCCATAACTCATATTTATTACTTGTATTTTTTCTTTGTGTTTCATTACATGTATCATTGCTCGGACTACCGCAGTTCCTGTTTCCATTGTACCAATGCGGCCATCTCCAACACTTAATGAAATAATTTGAGCACCAGGAGCTACGCCATTTAATTCAGGATTATCAGGAAAATACGCTGCCGCGATTGAAGCTACATGTGTACCGTGACTTGCTAGAACATGACAAGATTAATCGTAATTACGAAAATGAAATAAAATTGTGAACTGAATCTTATTAATACCTACAGCATAAACTAACAATTTCTAGTGTATTTCCATTATCATGAACATTAATACTAATATTTAATTGATCTTCTGGTATAAGAGGCGCATACTGCCTTGTTGAAGTGTATTCCCCTAGAAATACACCAGCTTCCAAATTACCTTCTTCAGAGGTGTCAATACATGCCCTATAACAGAAAATGTAAAGGATTAAATTAAATGTTAGTCTACAAAAAATATATTTTAAAAAATATGCAAATCTAAATGTACAATATATATTTACCTCCAAACTTCACCATCATGGAAAACAACACAGTCATAAGTAGGTCCTACATCAGAATATTTTTTCTCAATATTATTCAATATTTCAACTCTGGCCTCAAGTTCCTCTTTCTCTAGCCTCTCTTTTAAAGTGTTTATTTGTGAATTCTTGGCTTCAAATTCCTATGTACAACAGTCATATAAAATAAAAATCAAATTGTTTTTTTATTCATTAAAAATTACATGTTCACGCAATATTTACTTATATTTTAAATTAAATTTATTTCTTTGTTTTCAGACATACTATTGAAAAGTATAAAAAAAAGTTACACACTATTATGTAATGAATCAATGACTTTACAATAGATCAAACTGCCAATTATAAATATAGCATTAGATACAGATCACTGTGACACATTGTGAAACTGGCCTCATTTGATTGCATGGTTCAACATACCCACAACAACCCTATCTTTGGATCACATGGTCTAAAAGCCTATTTACGTATTTGTTCTTAAATTTTTGTCACTGTTACTTTTACATCATGGAAATTAATTATCTTGAGATGTAACTTGAAAATAAAATATCAATTTTTAATCAATCTAAAATTGATTTCTATATATAACAAAAATGTTTTGCGCAAGAAAGTTTCTTATTTCAGATATATGTTCCAAATACAATCAAAATGCAATTATCAATCTATTTACTTGTAGTTGCCTAGATGCTTCTGCAAGTGCAGATTTTTGACAGTTGTCCCATAGACGTTTTTTTCTTTCTAGTAATACTCTTTCTCTTAATTTTCCTGGATATAGTGAATACAAATTTTTTATTCCAATGTGATATTCTCCAGTTGGATTGACCCAGTTGGATGGAACCTAAAAGAAAAATTATATTTTTGTTTACTATCATCAGTATATACTAAGTACTATTAATTTTAGTCACAATTATTATTACCACGAATAAAATATTATTTAAAATATACCTTTAATTTGCGGCCAGTTATGCCAAGTATGTATCCATCAGGTGCTTGTACAACTTTACTGGTATCCACATCTCCAGCACCACTGCAGTCATATCTTTCAATAATTTTTGGCTTTCCATCTGAAGTTTCCTATGTGAAATATACTCATTATAAAATTGAATATTTCATTAAAATTTAATGCCTTCTCAACTGTTTTATAAAATTTTGTTATCATTTTACAAATGTTAATATACAACAAAGAATAATAAATACAATTGAAGAGTAAGAAAGAAAGAATGACGAATGTATTTTATTTTAGTACTTAATGATCATATAATTTTATAACAAACAATGTACAACAATTCATCATTAATGCACAAAAAATTAGATATACACTAGTAACCAGTGATTATATCATTGTATGACAGAAATCTTTAAAACAAATATAATTATGAATAACGACAAACAGTAAGACTAATAAATTCAAATTACATAGTGTAAACCATCTAATTTAACGTAAAATTATTCGAAGCCTTTTACTTTGTACATGGATAAAATAGTTAAAAATTTATAAGTGAAACAAACATATTTAACAACCGATACTTTTGACAATGTATCACTATTAAAAAGAATCCAAATATTAGAGCAAAATTAAAAAGAAGGAACCGAAAGTAAAGGCAGTGATTTGAACAATCGCGAGGCGTGTCTATAGAAAAGCTTACTCACCTGCATACCAGGAGCCCCAGGATCAATCCCTGAATCGAAAATTGCAATGATAACTCCTCGACCATCGTACTCAGGATATTTGGTAAGAAATTGAGTGACACCAGTTTCTTTTTTAGGTAAAAGGCCCCAAACAGGAAAATTACAATCAATGACCTCTGCCATATTTCAAATACCACTGCCACCGCAACTCCAGAAAAACTACTTGAGATGTTTCCTTTGTACTGCTACAGCCTTATATATCAATCAAAAAACAGCATCTGCGCCTGCGTGAGTGTTCACAGAAAATTTTGAGGTTAAGTTATCGGCTCACGATACATCAGACCAAACAGACAACAAGAAACAAAATTTGTGTAACGTTTGCGTTAGAGTGTTCAGATAGCAGCACCAACATTACGTCAATAATTAAAAGAAACAGTGCTTGAAAATTCGCAAATTTCACGGTAAATGGTGGTGATGTAAGAGGTTATGTGTTTTTATCACAAGAACCAGAGAATGATATACTCGTCGTAATCAAACATTTTTTCTTTCACCGTAAAACATTATGGTGTTAGTCTGTGACAAGTCAACGGGGAATGTAATGTAAATATCTCCGATGACATGTGTAGTGTTAAAGCATGGTTGTCACGCCACGAAAGATGAAACAGGTTGCCTTTTCCGTGATTTGTATAATATTAGGTAAATGTTTCAAAATTCGTGCAAGTTATGTTGTACAGTTTCTCCTCATCAACTATAAGTTTAACCGATAATACAATTATCATGTATCTTCCATATATTGCAGTGTTAGGATTTTACAAAACGTTCGTTAATCCAGAAGATGAACAATCTTTCGCCCGACTTCATCCACGAAGTCGTAAAACTCAACTAGAAGATATAAACGAAATGGACACTGTTAATGAAAAAGTTCAAAAAGCTGATGAAAGTATGCGTTATACCGACATCAAAGATATCGAAGAAGCGAAAACACGAATTCATGAATTAGAAGGAAAACTTCAACATCTTGAAGCTAAAATTGAGAACAAAGTGTCAAAAGACTTTCCAACAGTTAAGTTTCTTAATTATAAGAACCGGAAAAGAATATTAGTCACAGGTGGAGCAGGTTTTGTTGGATCACATTTAGTTGACCGTTTAATGTTTGCTGGTCACGAGGTGATAGTTGTAGATAATTTTTTTACTGGAAGAAAACGTAACGTCGAACATTGGGTTGGCCATGAAAATTTTGAACTTGTTCACCATGATATCGTCAGACCACTCTATTTAGAAGTCGATGAAATATATCACCTTGCTAGTCCAGCTAGTCCACCACATTATATGCTTAATCCGGTTAAAACGATAAAAACAAATACATTAGGTACAATAAATATCTTAGGTATGTAAATAATACCCATACATAAAAATATTTGAAAAATTACTCATCTTATTTATTAATAATGTTTGTGTATATAAAGAAAATATCTAACTATATCAGGTCTTGCAAAACGGGTAGGAGCAAGAGTTTTAATAGCTAGTACATCTGAAGTGTACGGTGATCCTAATGAACATCCTCAGTCGGAAACATATTGGGGCAATGTGAATCCCATAGGTACATACAAATGTTACAATTGGATTTGATTATTGGCAGGATAAAAATATGTATCGTAATTTTCGTAGGACCAAGAGCTTGTTACGATGAAGGAAAACGGGTAGCCGAAACGTTAAGCTATGCGTATATGAGACAAGAGGGTGTTTCGGTACGCGTTGCCCGAATTTTCAATACATTTGGTCCAAGAATGCATATGAATGACGGTCGTGTAGTATCAAATTTTATATTACAAGCATTACAGAATGATTCTATTACGATATATGGTAGTGGAAAACAGACGCGGTCTTTTCAGTATGTATCTGATTTAGTCGATGGATTAGTTGCTCTAATGGTGTCTAACTATACTCAACCGATTAACATTGGAAATCCTGTCGAGCATACGATAGAAGGTAAATATGATTCTTAAATACTCTTGGAATAATCGATCGACTGTAAAGAACATGTAACGAATTGCAATTTATTACAGAATTCGCCCTTATAATAAAGGATCTAGTCGGTACAAATAGTAAAATAGTAGAACTTGCCGCAGTCGAAGATGATCCACAACGAAGAAGACCTGATATTTCCAGAGCTAAGAAATATTTGAATTGGGAACCTAAAGTTCCTCTAGCTGAAGGACTTAAGAAAACGATAATATATTTCGGCAAAGAGTTACAGAGAACAAAGCATTCTCAAAAAAGTAGATTCAAACAATCTTCTTACAAGAATGATCACGATATAGTAGAACAACTTTGAAGAACAAAATATCGATACGATTAATTTATCTACTTTTAAGAAAGTGGTTTTGGAAAGTGCCATTATGCTATGGACCATTATGTGCCAAACGATTCCCCGTCCAAATTGAATTTTATATAATTTAGAATATTAACGGGTGTATGTTCTTAATTTAAAAAATCTAAAAGAACACATTTCCTTAAAAGAAATTGATACTTTGTATTTACGTGGTCGATATTTATTTTAGCCTTACTAAGGTGTTATACCATGTTTGCAATGTTCCATATCTAGTTTTATTTATTATTTATGATAGTATTCAATAGTATACAATTGAAACGGCGAATGCTTAAGCCTACTACTTATTTCATACTAAACAAGAAAATTTATCGCACAGTTTTCAAAATCCTTATTTAATATTCGATTGATGGTGCTGGGGAACAGTATCAATATCGTTCTTCTTTGTGTGAATTAATATTAAATTAAATCGTGTGAATTTTAAACGATATTACGCTGGATTTACTTAATATTTCTATGTAATCGATTTTTCTCGGATTGTACATTGTCTTTGTGTATTGTTAAATTTCTGTAACGGTGTATAATAGCAAAATTACGCAATATGCACTTGTAATTAGTAAATTTTTAACACATATTACTATTTCGAATGTTTGTAATATATTAGTAATCGTACAGTGTGATATATACAAATATATAAAATATATATATATATATAAGCAGCGAGTACTGTAATAGTTCGTGAATGTGTATACTGGAAAGTAATTTTATACTGTACAAAATTATAACGTGTACACGAGTGTAAGCGAGTAAAACACTTTTGCAAAAACAACCGTGTTTCGTTATGATCACTCACACGTTTAATTTCTCTACAAATAATTTTTATCGCTTGTAACGGGAAATATAGAATCGATGCTCGCGCTATGACATGCGCACAACTACATCGAAGGATCACGATTACGGACTACGTCAGTTACATCTGTAAGAAGAATTTGCAGCGATCCCATCACGAGAATACACATTGTTGCATAACGAGTCGGGTGATTCTTCTTGTCCGGTTGCGCTCCAACTAGATAATATTATAATTCCGGCAAGCGTGACCACTTGCTGAAGACGCATTCCAGGGCGAGATTGAAGAATCGTCCGCGTCGTTTATAGCGCATTTGAAGGGCCGATTGCCCGTAATGGGTGTCGCGTGGGCCCTGACAGGGCGCACGTGGTCGTCCTGTCTCGAAGACAGGAAAGAGAGGAACGGTTGGCGGACGAAAGAAAGAAGAAAACAGGGGAACGAACAGATTGGCGGGAGAGAGTAAGGGGGCCGGGTAAGACTCACTGATTCTTAACGATAATCATCGCATCCGGGATATGCCGTGGCTTTGTCGTCGCGGATGAAAACGCCGCAAGGGTGAAGATGACCTAATCGCTGAGGAGACAGACCGCTAACGACTCGGCCGCGAAGGAAATAAGGCGAATAGAGGCCTCCTCCACTTCTGCTTATACTTTCACGCGACCGGTTACGCTTCGTTTTAATCAAGCTGCACAATTTAATTTCGCTCGGACGTCGTTCTATACAAATAGCCCGAGATAGCATGGCGAGAACTCGCAATAGCTTCCCCGGTACGCGAATGCGTTTCCTTTTCGATTTTCGAGCGAAGCTGGACGAGCTCGTTGAGAAACGCGTCACGATACAACAGTGGTACACGTTAATGAACCGGGGGGGTGTACCGTCGCGTAATCAACGAACTTGAACGACTTCCTGTCTGCGGAGACCGGAGGAACAGGTGACCTAATTCAGCGTAAAGTAACTCTTGCTCTCTATCCGCCGGTGGTCCGCCGGTAATCCGATCTGTCTATTGGTAAATGAGACGGGGAGTACTCATCTAACGTGGGCTCAGCACGTGAGCAGCGTGTTACTTCTTACCTGCGATTGCAATTAAGTTGATTCCTTTGCACAACGATGCTCTGATTCTTTCAGCCTGGCTCTGTGAAGAGCAGCATTAGTGGCCTCAGCTAGTTACGATGAGACAGGTTACGTCCGGTTATGTTGGTTTTGGCTAAGTCTGGTTACGGTAGGTATAGCTTTTGTGCCGTACAATGCTATTCGGTGACTTCTGCCCTCTACTGTTCGCTAGTATGTCCTGCTTGGCTTGGGTGTGGGGGGGGGGGGGGGGGGGGGGGGGGGGGGGGGTGAAATGAATTGTTCGAATCGATCGACCGATACAACACGAGCTACTCCATTGTACCCTGCTCACCGTATCAGTCGTCGAAAACGAGACGCATAGGTACATACGAAGAAAAACCGGCCGTGAACTCGAATAATCCGCCATCGCCAGAGACGCGATCGAGATCGAGAGCGAGAAACGACACGAGAAATGTCATCGATTCATTCTCTCGACTCCTGCAAATGCGTTCCATTCTTATCGGTAGAAAACGAAGAGAACGGTAGAGATGAAGACGCGAGATACCCCCGATGGGGTTGGCACGTTGGCCGATGGCGAGGGGAGACGAAAGGGGGCGAGGCAGGGCTAAATTATTGATGAAAAACAGGAATTCGTAGCGAAGCAATGGGGAACGTCCGATCAGAAGTTTTCGCGTGAAATTTGCATTGCGGATTTAACATGCCCGTTACCTGGCAGCAGCCGTTCATCTCTACTTTGCGCCTGCATTATGTATGACGCACACAGCAAGCTCCTCGAGCTGTAGCCCTGTTACGGATTCGAAAGTGTCGCAGACTACTCGACACACATTCCCCTATCTAACCTTCTCCGTTCTTATCTCGCGTGCTACCTTTTAACGTAGTATCAGCCAACATTCTTGCGTCCTCGTGGTTAATGATAAAAGCTAGAGTTCCCCTTGGGGGAGAATACCACGCTGGGCGTCACCGGGACATCGGGTTTTCCAATAAGCTCGTGGGAACCCGGCCATGGAACCAGCGATCCTAATACGTGGGTGCCGCTTCGTGGGATTTCGAATGGGAGAAAATTACGAAGAAAGTTACCGCGAATGCGCATTTCTGTCCACGAAGCTGAAATCCCGAAGATACACGTGATAAAGGCCTCGTGAAGGCCTTAAAGGAAGTCTTTGATAGAAATATGATTTCATTTCGAGACGATGTTCGGACCCCCCCGTTTAATATTTTACCTTGGAACTTTAATTGCACCCCCGGGACTGATAACTCGTTTCGTCGAATAAGACGTGCTTCGTGCCAACCGGGACACGCGTCGACGACGCAACTTCGACGCCTAAAATCTCGATAAATCCGCCAGGATCCTTCGTTGACGCGTGGATGGGCGCAAACGTTGATCACGATCGAAGCGTGTACGCGCAATTATCCCGTGACAAACGCGTCTAAGCATCGTTATTACGTACCATCGGGACACGTTTACGCATGATCTACGAGACTTTAATTATGCCCCCGGGGAGCCGGAAAGGAATAGACGCGATAGACGAAAGCGTTCGCGTGAGCGGCTGTCTGACACGTCGCCTCGTGATTCGAATAGAACGGAATAATTACGTGGTACGCCGGAACGGATCGCATAGTTGCTCGTTTTCGAGTAACTCGCGAACTTGGCACGTGAAAATCGCTGCCCGATCGCCTCCGCGCTGTACGATGCGCAATAACGATCGTGATTGAATTACCCGCGCGATAAGTATAGTTTCCCGCCGATACTCCGTGAAAATGAAACGGAGCAACGATAAAATACCTGCTCCTGTTCCCCGCTGCATACACCTATACGTGCGTACACGTGCGCGCACACATCGCCGAGGGATATTCCGTGCTCCGTAGGTTCCCTCTGCAAACTTCTGCTCATTCGATAGTAATGGGTCGTCGCAGTGAATGCAAAGGGAATCGCGTTGCTTCGATTGTCGCGTGTTCCAGCTAGGCGAGCTGAAGTGCAATTTAATATAGGATACCCGGGACAAGATTTATCTCTCCTCGGTGCACGTAGTCCACCGCGCATCCTTTGTGCATCCGAGTTCACGAATTTCCCGTAATTTCCACCACCACCTCGATTATCCTCGAGTGACACTTGGGCTTGGAATGGCAATCGAATGGCAATCGAACAGCCGAAGCATCAGCGGTGGTTCCAAGTTTTCCTTTTCACCGTTTAAGTACCCTCAAGTTCTCCGTGTCGTTGTATCCAGGTAAACGAATTTATCGGAGCGCGTCCACCTCCGATCAACGATATTCCCGAAATTGCAACGGAGCGCAGGAACGGTAACTTTCCGAGGCTCGTTCAAGTTGCCCTTTCACGGTATATTTCGTCGTTCGACCTGCCCGCCGGCAGAGGAAGAGGGCCGAGCATGCAGCTTTTACGAAACGCATAAACATTTCACCTGAACCGCCTACTCGAGAGCCAGACTCCGCAATATCGCAAATATTCTGGCGCCATCGAGTTCCCAGCCGGTGTCTAAATAAATAGCCGATCGACGGGGACTTAGTTATGCATGCGACTCGGTCAAAGCGAGCACGATGCCAGTGTTCGGCCGGCTGAATACTCGGGAACGACGACCGGTCGGCTGAACAAGTGGCTCTGCCTTTTCGATGGCCGACAAGAGCTATGATTTGTTTCTCGCGAGAGGACACGCGGAGACGGTCCGTCGGAGGAGAAGGTCCAAGACGAGTGGTAAAAAGAGGAGAATTATTTCAGCGACGTCGAGTGTTTAAGGGTGGCAGACTGTGCAGGTTCTTAGGCTCTCGACGAGTTCCGATTATAGTCGACGTCGAGATGTAATTACTCAAGGTTGCCCCTTCCAGCTCGCAGTGACATTCCCTCGAGCAACTGGCGGGAAGACAAAAAGCCATCGAAGTAGAGACGACGAGGAGAGGAAACGGGAAGAGAGAAACGGTACCCGCAGGAATATCGAAGATAGCGCCTGGGTTAATATTTACCGCGGTCTACCGAGCAGTTGGTGTGCCGTAAGCGAGTCCGGAGTACACCACCGGTCTAAATAGCGGTTAAAGGCGCCGATAAGCTTAGGTTGACACGCACCACGCGGACGACCCTCCGAATTCCGCGTTATCAGCCCCCGAGTCCGGGGTCGTTCGGTTCCAACTGCACCATCGTCTTCGGTCGTTCGCTCGATCTAGACTAGAAACTTTCGTCTCTCGGATTTCACCGAACGGTAGTCATGGTAGTCGGGCCTTGCACGACGATACGCTCTCCGTAATAACCCGGGACTAACGCGTTAGCACAGGTGCTGGTTTGCTACGACTGGTAGGGTAAATGTCGGGGTAAACGCGCTAAAGGCACATTAGCACTCTGGCAATAAAAGGCTGGTACGGTTACATCGTGCCCTCCTATGAGCCCGTATACATCGGGAAGATTTATCGAATCGAGTCTTCGATCGTTTTTCAAGCGCCGTTTCAACGAGGATCATTAGGATCGCGACGCGGAAGAACGGCCCGGTTCTCGCGCGTCGCGTTGCCCTCGTTCGCCATTTTTTCCCCATTTCACGGCGGATATTTCGCGAACAGACCGAGCGAACGTCTCGGCGGGGTGCTAGGTGTGTTCGTTCTAAATTTGCATCCCCATTCGTTGCACTGGAGCGTGCATCGCGCGACGTAGGCTGCAACTCGCAGGCCTCGTGTGAACGACCCCGGGCCTCATACGAAATGTAAATATTTACTCGCGAGAGCAGCTGTCAGTGAAGGGGAGTATTCGCTTTTTCAGGTAATGGCCCCGATACCACGGAGGCGCCTTCCCTGTCGCGGCCACGATACGTTATCCTGCCACTGGCAGATATTTTTCTGGCTCCACCCGGACGAGTTCCGTATCGATGCTTCGGAAATGACACACGCGACCGAACCTAACCAAGCGTTTAACGCGCGATCGGGTCGGGGAGACTAACGGGAGCTGAAATTAAAATATCCTCGTCGAAAAATACCGACGACGAACGGGAAATCGAAGTCTCGCCGACGGTCGATTCTCTGTCAGTCTTTTCGTAAAAATTACTAAACTACTTCACATCCACTCGGGATAATTTTGGAGCGAATGATAATCGAGTTACGAAATAAATCGCGAGATTTAGACTCGTGCGATCATTTCCGTGATTAACGTTACATCGATTTTCCCATATCTAATCTTGTCTCGTTTTCTCATCCTCAGGTCATTCGATCGATCATGGGAGGTTCAGCATGGAGAAGAAAGACACTCGAACGACCCAGGATCGAATCTCCTGTTACTTATCATCCCGCCAAGAGTACTCGGGGGACTGGAGAGACTGGAGCAGCGATAGCGGGCGAAGAAGAAGCGGACCAGTGGTCCCAATAGGGTGAAACGTGATTTTTCTACGGCCGGTGCCCCTACCACGGGCGATCAGCACTCGCAGAAGATACACTTGGCGCGGCCGGCCGGTCCGCCAGGCGACGGAGTAGTTTTCTGGCGCTGGCTGGCGGAGCAGCTGTTTCCAGACTGGAGCGGCGGCGGCCTGGCTGGAAGTTCAGTCTCGTTGCGACCGTCGGCGAGGTCGTGTCGTAGCCTGCCGTTTTTGCGGCCGCGCTTTGCCTTCCCGCCACGTGCGCTTCTTCCTCTCGTCTCCCCGACGCTCTCTCCTCTCGGCGTCCACAGACACGTCTCGAAACCGGCTTCTCTGGTCGCCACTCTCCATCCACGGCGGACCACGCGACGCGCACGTCGCCCAGGGAACGCAGAGACGCTTCTCCGAAGGAAGAGAGGGACCGAGGAGGATTCTGCTTCATCGAGACTCCAGTGAGTACCTTGCAAAATATTCTTCTCGCGCGAGGGACGGGGTCGTCGGTGACTCGCGTGGGGTCGAGTCCGGTGAAATTTGGAGAACTCGCGAGGACGATGCTGGGATATTCACGACCCGCGAGTTCGTTACTCCCGATGGAACGTGGTGATCGATGATCGATGGTGCAGCGATTCACCGAGAGTTTACTCGTCGAGTCATTATCGATGACTTTCGTCGAGTCGGGTAGCAACACACGCAGAGAGATTCGCGATTTATTCTACTTGGATTTCGGAAACGAAAGCGATCCGGCGGAGATCAAATAAACCGGCCATCGTAGTTAGCACTGGTACGCGAAATAATCCGCGGCGTTACGTAAACCGACTCGAGTTTTCGCGGTTCGTTGTCAGTCGGAGAGTTTCGAAAGCGTGGCGCGCTTTGTCTGGCCGGTGCAGTTTCCGGCCGACGAATTCGCGGTTCTGCCGCCGGAAACGGAGGCCCTTTGCGGTAGGACCGTGCGGCGGAGGCCTGTTTTCGTCCCGATCCGCTGGTCAATTCGAGGAATGGCAAAAAAACGGCAAATGCATGTGTCCCCGGGGGCCGATATGCAGTCTGGGACGAATATAAGTCAGCCGCCGGGTCTCGAGACGGCCGACTTTCGAATATCTTGCGGGACGCGCGTTTTATTTCGCGCCGGCCCGAGGAATTCCACGCGTTTCGGAATAATTTTATGGCCAAACTCCGGTCTGTTCCTGGGGAATCCTTCGAATGGTCCGAAGGCGTTGGGTTATGCGAGGATTCGGGAACGACACCGGTGGCGTGGGGCAGAAATCGTGGGGCACAGCGACGCGGAGGGCCCGTGGAAATCGAGTTCGTTTTTCCACCGGTGATCGCGTTAAGGGGGATATTTCGAATTTGCGGTTTGATCGAGGGGTGCGCGTCATTGCGTATACGTGTCGCGTTAAACGAAATTACGAGGGATTAATGTACACGAGGTTGTGCGTATTCGGAATGGTTAAAAGCTATCGGCCATCGAAACCCAGTCCGCCTGTGCGTGAAAAATCTTCCACTCCACCCACTCGTCAGACGAGTACGTACAACGACGTTACCGTCTCGCTGTATAGAAACAGGATCGCTTTGAATCAGCGATGTTAAATGGAAGTCGGTGGAAAGACTAGTAGCTTAGAAAATATATTCGAGAAGTGTCTAAATGCGAAGGTTCCGAGAAAGAAACTCGGAGCACCTGAACGTTTGCCTCATCGACGCTACGAAATCCGGTCGATGGAGTCGATACCTTCGGAGTAGCCGACGAATTTACGTCGACCATTTTCATCGCGCGCACCGATCAACCTTTATCGCCGATTTCTCGCCGATCATCGGCTCTCGATCGGCGATCGATTAACGATCGATCGACAGCGGGCGTTGCGAAAGCGGCAGTAAACCTCGCAGATCGATCGCGTAGGAATCGGTGCGACGTGGACCGATCTACAAACGCGGACACCTGCGTTCGTCGCAATGGCTGCACGATTAAACGAGTCATTGTACGCAGGTTCGTAAAAGGAGCGGCCGCGTGGATCGCTCTTCTTTTCTCCTCCGTTCCATCGCAGTTTGCGAACGCTGCGGTAACCCGAGCCATCGGCCGGTGTAATTGTTTCACCTCTGACACGTGTTTTACGCTAAATTACCCCGTGATACAGCATCCTCTGCGCGACTTTTCGTCAAAGCTACTTTCCGAGTACTCTAATTAGTATCCCGTTCCCACACTCGCGCCGAATTAGTATTCCGCGCGGAACGGATTCATCTGCGAGGGAACGTCTCAAAGGGGTATCCTTGAGACCCGATTCAAAGGAGTTCCGCGGAAATCCGTAAGCCCGGGTTGCTTCTCAATGGCGAACGAAGGCGAGCTTTCCATCGAGAGATTAAAACGGTCAAATGGCCCATCGACCGGTTGAACACTGTTTTTAATTTTCCGAAAGCGACCGCCATTCGTCGTATCCACGAATTCGGAATTTTGTTGGGGGGCAGGTGTTGTGGTGCCGATCGCCGATTTCCTGGGGTCGAATCGGATCGAAGTAGAAACGGGCTCGTTTCGCGCCGGACGCGAAGTTTCATCGCATGACGAATGATAATTAAAACAGCGGTAATTTCAAAAATTCATCGGCGAACACGCGGACGCGATACGATGCGACACGTTTAAGGTGTATATTCGCAACGAGACGAGGCTGGACGTTCGCTACCGATTCTTCGACGGACGTCGGGTAACCGGGGATTTTCAGGTAGGGAAGCAGTTTCTCGATACGCAAAATCCTCGAGTACCGTTCTGGGCTATTACCCCCGAAATAGTTGGCGAACCGGCGATGCTAGTTTCGGCGGAGTTATGCCGCAGGAAGTGATTAAGCGTTGTATTTCTATTCGGAATGCCGGTTGATTAATTGCCGGTTGCAGTAGCGCTGAAAATAGTTAAGTGCCGCGTTTCTGTTCGAAACGATTGATTAATTGCCGGTTGCGCCGGTGTGTCGGAACGTTCGGAAAGAAGATCGGGAATAATTCCGAAACGTCGGAGTTGGAAGACGCGTCCGTGGCAAGGATAACAGGCCTGCACCGGGGGGAAATTTCGTGGCGGCGTTCTCCTTTCGCCGAGCCTCGCCCTCTGCGCCGCCATTTCTCTTTATTTTCATTTCTTATTTTCTTTTCCATGCTCCTTTCTTCTCTTTCCATCCGCCATTCTAACGTAATAAATTATTCCGCGAACGCGACGCACTTTACCCTGCGAGACTGTTCGCGATCGACCAGTTGAATGTTTATTTCGACGCGTCGCTAAAAAGAGAACGCGCGTGGGCGACTGCTCTTTTTTTTAGCATTTTTGTTTACTATCCAGCGAGCATGTCGAAGGAACAAGATGGCGAGGAGTCGCGGGATTTATGCGCGGGAAGGGAAGGGAGGAGATATCGATATCGGTGGATATCGAATTAATCTAATTACGTATCGGGGGGAATCGAAAGGTGTCGTTTGGAAAGCGAAACGGGGAGAAAAAGATCGGTTCCGACGATCGGTGAAATTTTCCCAGTAGTCGAGCGTTGGTTTAGTGTTCGAAACGAGCGCGTAACGCGGAAGCGGGAATTATCGGGGAAAAGGAGCAACCACTTGGCCGCTTCGTTCATTACCCGCAGCTTTTTTCCGCTTACGTAAACGTAATAACGCGGAATATTTAGCTCGCGTTTAATTGCCTGACGTTCGATTAATCGCGCGGAGAAATCAATCCTGAAACGTCGCGTGATCGATTTTCTTCGAACTCTACGAAAAATCGTTGGAAAATAACGGGAAAATTGTGAGAAAATTGTCGGAGAATCGTGGAAAAATAACGGGAAAATTGTGAGAAAATTGTCGGAGAATCGTGGAAAAATGGTGGAGAAGGGCAAGTAGTATGTACGCGTTTTAGAGAACTCGTTACTCGAACGGCTTTCCGCGAACTCATCGGGGACGTTGGGAATCGGTCGAACGGGAGTGGTAGCGTTGCCAAACAGAAGTTGATACTAGCCAAAAGTTATCGGATGGCGAAAAACTTATCGCCGAATTTCGTGGACGTAGCCAGTGCGGGTTGCTGCTGCTGCCTTCGATAATATTGATCTTGTCTGGCTGGCGATAAAAGTTTCGCGATTTCTTCTGCTCCGAGACCACGGATTCCGATGCCAGAAATACAGGTTCGCTGTTTGCCTCGAATCGAACTTTAAACCCTGTGCATGATTTTCCCTTCGCTGATCCCCGGCAACGAAGAAACCATCCGATCGTGCGTGGCAACTCGACTCCACGATCGTTGGCGTATGCCGTATCCCAACGATTTTCGCGCTAAGATGGATCATCGAACGAAAGGTCTCTCCTCGACCCGTGGTTATTCGAATAACGATATCCACTCGAGATGGAAAAGAAATCCGATAGGTAGAAAGCTGCCGACGTATAATATACTTTCGTTGCCAATTATCCATTAATCCCGACGACGATAACTTTTCTCGAAACAGCGAACAGGATTACCTTCGCGGAAATCTACAAACTGGTCGCGATAAATTATCAACGACGCTCCTCCGTGAACCTCGGGTTCGCGGATACACCGAATATCGTAAATTTAATCGGGGGAACACGGTGAATCGGATCCCCTTAATCCAACGTATCCCGTGCCGGGTCTCGCGTTTCGATGCACCGTGGAAGGCTAGCTAAACGTTTCATCGTTTCTAAATTGGATTTACGCGGACTTCCTATTAATACGGCACGCCGTGACGCGGCTAGTGGCCGGTAAGGTTAAACGCCATTTATTCGCGGAACGATTGTTAACCATTCAGATATCGTACGCATGTTCGGTGTTTATCGGCGAATAAGTTCCTCGAGGTATATTAACGACAGGGCACGGGCGAGTTTATACCCTCGTTTCAGATAGAACGATCGCTACTTCTACGACGATAGTCGGTAGGCAACCAGCAGGTATCGAATAACACGCGTAGAAGTTAATAGCCTGTGTACCGCGTACACGTGTACGCGTGTACGCGTGTACGCGCGTACAGTACGCGGTCGATCGTAGATTAGTTATAGGGGTTTTTATGTCAACGCGTGGTAGCAACGAGCAACGGTAATTTCGCGTATCAGCTGCCATCGTGTCAATTCTTCTACCGATATTCATCGAACCGGGAAACTCGCGATTTTTCCGCATCTCTGTTCGACGAGGTTGAAAATTCGCGCGTCTTCGAAGCACGGATTCGTCGGAGGTGTTCGTTACCGGTGAATTTATCGCGCAAGGTAATCCCCTGGACAGAGGGAAGGTTTCCTAACGCGAAATAGACTCTCTTAAGCTTCTCTAAACTTCACCCTCACGACGCACTAAGTGGCCGTAAAAATAGGCACTTGTACGTACGTGCAAACGCACTCAGCCATGCTAAAGCACGCACTCTCGAGCCCCGACTTTTCATACGTTGCAGTCCACGTTTTGCCCTCTCGAGTAAGGAAAAGGAAAAAAGAAGACAAGCCGTCACGC